TCATTCACACAAGTGGAAAAGGCACTGGGATTTCTTCCTAAAACCATTTTTACATACTGGATCACCCATACCTAAATTCACCTTTTGAGGAGTATAACTACTTACTGGAAACACTCTATCCTTATATTTGACAGCCAATTCCTTGAATAGGAAGATATTTTCCTTTTTCTTTCTTGCCTGCTGGGATGCGAATTGGGACACGGAATGAAGAGGTTTTAGTTCTGCTCTAGCCCCATATAGCTTCTGCTTTAGGTTCTCCTCCAGCAATTGCCTTGATCACTCCTTAGAGCTTTTCTAAACAGCAGTAGCAGCATAGAATTGACATGATTTATGACACTTTTATTGCTTAGTGCTAATGGGATTTAGATGGTGCATGTGTTCCTTGCAACACACTGGGGTCTGTATCAATGCAATGCATTCTATTATTAATACAACCCAATCTGTTGAACTCCTCATCAAATTCTTTGGGAAAATACTTTACAGCTGCTTTAATAGACAATTCATACAACCAGCTGATCATCTCAAATTGCAGATTCCATTCCAATCTAAATCATATACAAAATACTTTCTGAACTTAAAAGTTCTCCTGAACACGCACAGGTAAAGGACAAACAACTAAACTGCTTTGTTGTATAGATTCACTACACGTAAATTTCTTCCTGCTCTAACATTTTATTCTCAGTTATACTATACCCTGAGTCTTCATCTGTTATGTAATTTTCTCTGTGTGTTAACAGTCACAACACATTGTTATTCTTCTGAATCATCATGTTCAACTCTTTATTCTTCACTTGCTGTTCATTACTGTATTTTCCCCTATTTCTTTAGAATGTCCAGAGATGGTAACTCCCTCAAGGGCATCTAGGAACATTAAAATAACCTGGGTATTATTCCTCACCCAGGGTTAGGATAACAAACATTTCATGTAACAGAGGTATTAAAAGTGAAATTTATGTTGATTTTTACTGGCTTTTGCTTGAAAAGTCATTATTAATCTCTTTCCACAGCTAGGCTCTTCCCTACAAGGACTGTGGGACATGGAAGGAAGCAGTCAGCATGCCTAGGAGCAACTACTGAAAAGAAGCAGAGCAGCTGCCTAGGGGCCCTAAGGTTATGCAGGTCTCTGAGGCAGTCTTAACTTCAATAAAGCACAAAAGCACGAGGGCGAGGGAGTCGCATCTTGAGTTCTCCTAAGCAGCTGCAAAAGTGTGGTGCTGATCAGAAACAGCAGCCAATGCTACCGAACTGTTACACATTATTACCAAGAAAAGCCTGGAAGAACCAGGCTCAAAAGAAGTCTTATTAGTCACTTAACACCTACGCTTACTCTTCTCATGACAAAAGGTTCAAAAACTTAATTAACAATCCTAACACCACAAAAAAAAAAAAAAAAAAAAAGAGAGAGAGAGAATGCTGATGAAGTAAGCTTAACTGCATCTGATATTTCCTACCATAAAAGCATTATTTTTTATTAGAACAGAATTAATAAACCATGTATTGGATAACTAGACGCAAACACAGTAACAGCATATGAACATGCAGTATGTGATAGCACTCATAACATTGTGCCCACACAGTCTCTTGCATGGAATGATTACAAGCCAGCAAACTGCACTGACAAACACAAAACTGAGTTTATACTTCACTATTTTGGTCTTGGATTTCATAAAAATCCATACTTTTGCTAAAATCAAAGTGAAACCTATTAAAATACTGCTGTGGTGAGCTTAAAAGTGGTTACAGAACTTCCAGTTTCAACAACAGGTATGCACATACAGTAACTATGCTATATCAATTAAACTAAGAGGATAATAACCTTCAAACAGAATTTGCTGCGGAGGAACTGCTCCTCCCCATCTGCCCCCAGATTTAAACCAACTCAGCTACTCTACAATGATCATCTGACCATGCTCTAAAAGTAGCTTTGAGGAAGAGAGAATGCTTTGAAAAGCATCGAAATGCATATTCTACTCCTAGTTACCTGTACAAACGCATATGCTGTATATGGAAATAAAATTTTCTATAGCCCCGATTTGATCTATCATTTTTTACATCTACAGAAGTTATGGCTTCCAGGGTTGTAAAGAATGAACTCCAGCAACACTTGAAACTTGCCCAATATAATCTCTCACTTTAAGTTGTCTGTGCAGATAGAACTAAGTTTTATTCACCCCTCATTATAATAATGACCATCTGTCCCACTTTAAATTTCCCAGAGTCAAGCTACAAAACTGACCCATAAACTAGACTAACATAATATATACAGGAAAACTGGAAGAGTTTTCCTCCTTCCTCACCTCTAAAGTGGCAATGAAAATAGGAAACACTGTGGATGCTCTTTGGCCATACAAAAACTCCTGCAACATGCCATTTGGCTCAGTGCCATCTCTCTAAAAACAGATTAGGAGAAAGGCAGAAGAAATGAGTCAAGTACTCAGTTCTGACCACCTTCCTTGTCTTCCAGTTATTATTAGTTTATAAAATGGAGATAGCAACTATATGGTAGCCAGAAATGCGCTTAGCCTCAAAATAATCTCCTCTACTACTATTTATTTACTTTGGTCATGCTTTTGGCCTCTATAACTTCCTGAGGAAGTGAGTTCCATGATTTTATTTTGCTGCGTGTGAAAGAAGACTTCCTTTTAGATCAGCTACCTGTTAACTGCATATATTGTTATAAGCAGGAAGTAAATTTCTTGTTCTTCTTTTGAAAATTCCAGATTAGAGGTACAAACGTCAAATACTTGTATAGTTTCCTACATTCGGAAAGATTTAAACAAATGAACAAAACTAAACAGAAACAACAACAAAACACAAAAACCAGACAGCTAACCAAAATTCCATGTAAGGAACTATTTGATGTTTAAGTCATCACCAATCATACAGTTCTGATACAAATATAATTTTTATCCTCGATTTCAAACAAGCAAGAGACAAAAGGGTTCCTTTCAGTCACTGAATAGCTAAGTATTGACTCCAAATAACTTTCTAAATCCTGTTTATCCATATTGAATCAGGAAGAGTAGAATGATGTTCTCAAGGGCAACAAGACATCTAGCTCAAGGGTTTGAGGCAGAAGATCCCTCTAGCAACTTTTCTAGCATGCTTTCTTTGCTAATTATCAGTCCACTCCCTGTGTAAAGGCCAGTCTGTTTTAAAAGAAAATGACAAGTATTCAGATACTGAAGTATAAAGAGTGCTTCCTGACTAACACTGAGGGCTTTATATCAAAAAGATGCAAGAGAGTTTTGTTTATTAAACCTCTGTTACATTTTGGATACATTTCAAGCTTGTAGAAACACTCTGTTATTTCTTCAGCCTCCTTTTTAGGCTAAAATTTGGAGGAAATACACACACATATCCAAACGCACAAATTCACATATTTTTTCTCTACCTCAGTGCCTTAAATGAAATCTGTCCACTAAGATTAAAAGCAAGCAACCCTTTTCCCCTCACCAAGTCCTTCTATTTTCATCACTGAAGAACAGCACACACTAGATACCAGATGTGAATATAAACAGGGACAATGCTTTCACTTACTGAAATTAATGAATTATTGCCCCAGACAAAAATAAGTAAATAAAACCTTTCTTTTCCCCCCAGATTGTGTCACTTTGCTATTTAAACTTGGCAGATTAAAAGGGATTTAATGAAATTCACATACATTCTTCAGGAAAGAAAACTACCCTCATGCCAAAAGAGTAAAGATGGAACATATGTAGACAGCTGATTCTGCCACAGTAGTAGTATCACAAAAATGAACATATGCGGGTAGTTAATGCATATGTAGACATACATATACATATTGGTGTCAAAACAAAGACATTTCATTCTTTCATTATCTATTACTCGAACAGCAAAACGGCAAAATCATGCTCATTCTGTAGAACGACAAAACACTTTGACAGTGTTTTATCCTGTATTGAAATGCACAAAAAGGTTGAATACAGCCACATCAAAAGACAGGCATAACAATACACAAATGAATGTCTGTACAATACCAAAAACTAGAGGAGAAACCCCGAAATCTTTGAAGGAACTTGATTCTCCATTTTCAGAAAGCCTGCTCCATACCAGGTGCTTAATGGTGCTTTGTTAAAAGCAAAGCTAAAAGAAGCTCTAGAAGGCTCTTTAAACATAGCCTATGTAATTTAATAATTGACTTTCTATAAAACAAAAGTATTTTAAGTAAGTTTATTCTAGAAGAAAAAAAATTGCAAGTCATAGTTTTGAAAAGTAAATTTTGAAAAGTGACTTTGTTAAGTCTGTATTACCCATGTTCACACTTACTACTTATGTAAAACGCATGGAATGATTACTGGATGAGTCAGACAAGACAGCAATTTTTTTTACTTCTAATTACAAGTTATTTCCTGTAAAACAGCAATTCGTTACGAGTTTATTATCTAAATACATAGAACCCACAGCAGAATTCTGCACAAGTTATTTAAAGGCGCATTTAAAAGTTTCAACGATGCTTTGTTTGACAGGAACCTTTCCGTGAAGAAGGCAAGGCTTATCATAAAAGTGGGCACTTACTAGAGTTTTAAAACACAGCTATCAAAACCAGAAAGTATGGCAATATCAGACACATGCTTATTTCTAGTAAATGAAGCAACAATGTAGTTTAAGATTAAAAAGCATGAAAATCCCAGAACTGAATCCTTGGTGGGAGAGCAGTCTATTCCCTTAACTCCACCCTCCCAATATCCACCAAACAACACTGCCCATATGAGACAAACCTTCACCTAACAGAACTCCTCTTCGATGGAATGGTAAAATACAAGAATTACTTCGGATACAAATGAGAACAATGGAAGAAAAGTGCCTCTCAAGTCTGTGTGTGTTCATACACGTGTGCACAGTTTTGTTAAAGACTTATATATATCACTCATGACTTGTTTGGTCCTAACTGAAGTATCTCAGCTGGGACAACATAGCCCTTCTTATCTCTTTTGTTTTTAATGTGTTATTCAATTTAGAACAAAAAGTCAACTTACCTTTTTCTTCATCTATTCGGAAAACTCCTAAACCAGATCCATCTCTGATGGAATATCTAATCTCCCCATCTCGTCCCGTGTCCTCATCATAAGCAGCTACTGTCATTACTGATGAACCAACAGGAGCATCTTCTTTTATAAAGCCTTTATCTGCGAAGATAGAGAACCGTGGAGGGTGCAAATTTTCATTTACATCAACTACTTCAACCTCAACGTAACACGTAGAGGACAAAGAAATGGGTTTTCCTTTGTCTTTGGCCCGCACAGTCAGATTATAAAGCTGTTTCTTTTCATAATCCAGTCTTTGCACAATACGTATTGCTCCACTTATTTTATCAACATCAAAGGTACCATCTCCACTGTCCAGAAGGCTGTATCGTACTTGACTTGACTGGCCTAAATCAGGATCGTAGGCTTCTAGCCATGTAATAATGGTTCCCTCAGGAAGATCTTCTCGAATTTTCACATGATAATTTGAGGGAATAAATTTAGGGGGATTGTCGTTAACATCTTCTACAGATACTTTCAAAATAACTGTTGAAAATAATTGAGGTTCTTCAGTAGCCTGGTCCCTAGCCTCTATTTTCAGGAAATACACATGCTGTTCTTCACGATCCAAAGCCCCTACAACTTTCACAACTCCTGTAAGAGCATTAATAGTAAACTTGTCTGTATCTGTAAGAAGAGAGTATTTCACTTCTCCATTAGATCCCATATCTTTATCAGTGGCTTCGACTTGAATAATTTCACTGTCTAGCTCTTTGTTTTCACGCACTTCTACAAAATAGCTGTCTTGTAGGAACTCCGGTGGGTTGTCATTAGCGTCCAAAATTCTTATATCTAAAAGATGCCAGGCAGACTTCTGTGGTATTCCAAGATCATAGACTGTAACATTCAAAGTATATTTATCTTTTACTTCTCGGTCGAGGGGAGATAAAATTTTCAGCATTCCCTTCTCCATATCAACAGTAAAACTGCTATCGTCGTTACCTCCAGAGATAACGTACACTAGCTTTCCATTGAAGCCAGTGTCAAGATCGGTGGCATTCATGAGTATTACGCTGGAGCCCACAGGCAGGTCTTCTCTTACCTCAATGCTACTAGGGAGAGCACTTCTAAACTGAGGTGCATGCAGATTCACAGAGTGAGTATCAAAGAAAACATCCTCAACTTCTCCACGACTGTGCAATTTATTTGCTTGTAAGAGTTTCTCTGCCAGCATTTTGGCAACACCAGTTTCTTCACACTGCAAGCTGACTGGTTTGCGACTGGCAGCTACAGTTATGTTGATATACAATGGTTTTGCAAAGTTCTCTCCATCTGTGGCTGTAATTTTCAAGCTGTGGAAAGACATTTTAGCACCTAGGCCATCTATTAGTGACTGCTTGAGTGAAAGTACCCCAGAATTTGGATTTAAGCTAAATAAATCCAGTTCATTTCCAGATTCAATTTGGTATCTCACCAACTGGAGCTCATCAGCATCAATAGCAGATACAGTAGTTATTTGTTCTCCAACACCAAGATCCCTGGGAATTGTTCCCTCACAATTGATTTTCTCAAACAATGGTATATTGTCATTCAAATTATTTAAGATAATAGTTACAGGAACTTCAACTTCTCGACGATATGGTATACCCCAATCAGAAGCACGGATCCTTAAATGGTAAACCCTCGGCATCAATTCATAATCCAAGTCTTCTGAAGTACTAATAATCCCGTTGAAATGGTTAATCACAAACGGCAAAGGATTTAGATTTGCAATGCTATAGGTCACATAGCCATTCTCCCCTTCATCAGGATCTTTTGCACTTACTCTCATGACACTAGTACCTATTGGCACGTTTTCATCAAAGGAGGCTTTATAGGATGTCTGGGTAAATTCAGGAGGATTGCTGTTCATGCCTAGTACCTTAATAAATACTTTTGCAGAGGCTCTTCTGTCACTTGTCACAACTTCAAGTTCAAAACGGGATGAATATTGTGCTTTTATTGGCTCTAGCGTGGTAATAAGGCCAGTACGAGGGTTTAAGTTGAATCTTACTTTGCCCGGTGTATTTTTAAAGACATATTTCAAATGTGGGTAACTAGGTAGAGCTTTTACCATTATCACAGGTGTGCCTGGAGGGGCAAATTCACTTATTTCAGCTCTATACACTTCTTTTTCGAATCTGACCGGACCTGACTTAAACTGTGGTGAGGTTACATGAATAACTTTTACAGACGAAAACTGTGGGGGGTTCCCTTTATCTTTAGCTTGAAGGGTAAGGTTGTATCCGAACGGGTGGCTCTCCCAGTCAATGTGACCAACGGCTTTGATTCTGTATTCTTTACCTCCTGGAACAGACCTCACTGTTTTGAACTGCTGAAGTGGATCACCAGCAACAATACTTAATGATGCTATTTCTCCATTTGAACCCTGATCATTGTCCTCCACATTTACAACTGCGTAAGTTGGATCCTTGTCCAGTTCTGACGGAGCCAGCGTAACAGCTGTAATTACTGGGGCATATTCGTTTGCTTGCTCTACGTGGACAGTAAGCTTTGCCATACTGCTGATGCCACTGCTACCATACAGCTTCATTCCACGGTCCACTGCAAGAATTTCCATCTCATAACGCTTAGTGTCCGAGTAGTCAAGTCTACCAGTCAAAACTACAACACCACTAGTTGGATGTATAGCAAACATATCCGTTCTTTCTTTAAAGCTATAGTAGAACTCTCCATTTGTCCCTATATCTGCATCAGTTGCACTGACTCTTGCAATGCTTGTCCTTATTGCTGTATTTTCAGGCAAAGACACACTGTAAGATGTTGGAGAAAACAAAGGCCGTAAGTCATTTGTATCCAGTACCTGCACCCTGACCTTTGTGCGCGTTTCAGCATTTGTGTTTTTTTCAACTGCTTTAACAGTCAGCATGTAATGGTCTTTTACCTCTCTGTTAAGTATAGCTGTGTTTCCTCCCTTGGTCCGTATTCTCAAAAAGCAAAAGTTTCCAAGAACATACTCTTCAGCTTTGAACAAGTTCTCAGTATCACCAGAAACAATTTTGTATCTTAGATCCCACAGTGGATTTGTAATGTAGATACCCATTTTCACTGGATGTCCAACATAAGTCTTGGCTGCAGAATTCTCATACACAGTGGCATTGTACTGTACTTGCGTAAACTGCATTGGTGGAGCATGATGTGGCCTTTGATTTGCTTCACAGTTTCCAAAATGCTGCACCAGCAGCATCAGCAGCAAAATCATAGTCAAGTGTCTTCCCATGGCAGCAATTACAAAAAACACCTGAAACAAGAGAAAGAAGTGTTAGCATTACTGACCCTTCAAATATCATTCAAATAACCTTGATGCCTACTTTAGAGTTCACGTTTGCAAGAAATCCAAAAGGAAAATATCTTCGTTATAACCTTTTTTTCCCCCCAGAAAGTTCCAGCGTTATTTAAAGGATTTAGAAACCAATAAATGACAATTAAAAACAAAAAGAATATTAGCACTTTTGAATACACTGTATTCTCTCCAGCCACAACTACCTCTATAAGGGGAATGGATGGCCATGCACATCATAATAAATATTCTTCTCAAGCATCACCAGTTTGTGAAACCCATCAATAAAGAGGATGAGACATATTCCTTTATTCTCCTCTCAGAACAGCTCTGAAATAAATTAACATTGTAATCTATGGGAACAGGAATCTATCAGAACAAGACTTGCTATCTGTCTTTTAAGCACTCTCCAGAAACGACAGACAGGGAAACAGCCTGGCACGGTAAGGCAGACATGAAGACATGACATCATTGGCTCTCCCTGCTGAAAGAGAAGTCAGAACATAGTTGCCAGTGTCTGAGTCCAGGCAGGACTGACTGCAACAGGAAGAAAGTCAGAAACCTCAAGAATGAGACTGTTCTGGATCCCTCTCTTTATCCAGATTTATAGCACCAGTTGTTAGTCCCAAAGTCTCACAGGATGACAAATCAAAGTTTCAGAATATTTCCTCAAGGAGGCCAAGTTTTCAAAAAAGTCTCTGGGGAAAATTTATTTTCAGCAAGTGAAAATCAATTTAGCCTTAACTTGGATTCATAATTTTAACTGAATAGTACACATTCTTTTCTTTCAACTTTCCTATTTATTCTAAATATTTTTCTTATTTCTCTTTTAGCATCTTCTTCCCTGCTCAGTCTTTACTATGGAACTAGTTCACAGTCATAGTAATTCCCAACTGTACTCTTCTTTCATTCTTCCTAACTTTCTCTCCCACTTTTACCTAATTTTTTCCCTCGCCTTAGCTGCTAGCCTCTCCTCTAAGCTTACCCTCCCACTGGTTTTGTTCTCTCCAGTTCAAAAGATACTGCATTATGTTGTTTCCTTCCCTCGCTCCCATTTCTTTCCTGCAGTATTTATACCTCTCCTAATTTATACCAGATACCTGAAAGATCACACCGGCTAAAATTCCATGGACTGCTTCTGCCCACTAAGAAATATTAAAGCAAATTAATCTGCTTGTGTCAATAGTTCACTCTTAAAAAATCATATTACAGCTATTAGTGAGACAATGATTTTTAAGAGAAGGACTTAAGACTCGGATCCACAAATCTATCCAAAACAGTTGAGTAACTATAACCCAGTCAGTACCTTTTAGGCAGGGAAGAGAAAAATATGTGCCCATCTTTCAAACCTAGCAATTAAATTACATAATTAAGACATAAGAAACACCAAAATGTGTACGACCTTCTAGAAGTAAGTCACAAGCTAGAATCACTACTTAAAAGGTCTTCAAGCTAGAGGAAGGAAAAGTGTTTGTTAATAAGACTGTCAGCTTGAAGTAACCAGTGTGTCAGCAGGTTAACAATATTATTCCACCCCCTTCTCCCTTACCTACTCTTTTTTCCTAAGGTATAATTTGTTCTGGGAATAAACAGGCACTTGGGTCTCCAGAGCTTCCTCCTCTTACTTGAAGGAATACACTGCTAAATAAATCTAAATAAATTAGCATTTTTTGGATGGAAATGTATTAGCGTAGTTAACAGCCATCAATACAACTCTTCTGCTGTGACAGATGAAACAAGCTCTGCTCCATTGGATAAATGCAGGTGGCAAAGAGAAAATGCTCATTATCTTTCTTCATCTATGAAAAGCTTCCAAAACTTTGGGGGAAAAAAAAAAAAACATTTAGGAGATGAAAATGGAAGGAGTACAGTCAGGCAAAGGGGAGTCCTTCCTATGCACCAGGCCTGCTCTCTGTGAACCTACTCTTTCTTCTTACTGACAAGATAATTTCATTGGTCAATTTCCCAGGTGACTTCCATGTAATTCCATGAATTTCCAGACATCATTTTCCACTCACTTCCAAATATAAGACAAATTTTAGGCCTATAATCTGTTAGTTACCTGTTTAGTAGCAAGCAGCACATACTCTGATTCTGTATTTAAGAGGTTGTTATTAGTTCTGTTATCAGGCTTATTGGATTTGGTGGGGAGCTGTTTGTTTATATATATATATATATATAGATTGATTAGAGCTTATGCTGTGTAACTTTCTCAGTTGCATCAGCAATTTTCTTGACTTCTCATCCTGTGGCATCCTATAAGTCACTGCCTGCACTTCGTAAAACTTTCTAATAAGATATCTGAAGTAGTGTATTTGTTATGCAAACACTGCAGCTGTCTGCATATATTATCATCTTGTCCCCATCTGAGGCACATTAGATACAATACACATTAGACTATATTAAGATATCCAAACTTCTCATTAAAATTAAGCTGAACAAATGTAGAAGTTTTACTATTAACATAAATATTTCTTCTATGTCATAATACCTTAAGTATTTTTGCTTACTTTCTGTAATAACTTCAAGTATTAAGTTGATATAGCAATATAAAGTTGATAAAGCAATAGGCCAGGTGCAGGCTATTAAACATGTGACTAAACATGTGACGATCAGTAAAAGAATCCAATCCTCAGCAGCAACTTCCTAATCTGCTCATTTGCCACATAGAGCTTGAAAGTATCTCCCAAATGAAGTTCGGAATGTTTCATTTAAAAAAAAAAAAGAAAAAGAAAAAAAAATGAATACTTCTGTGCCTGAACATTATGATCTTGAACACTTTTTCCATCTTGTGTCATTATTTAGAGAACTACTGCAGTCTAGAAAATGTTGATGTAAGATTATCTATAAACCAATATATAATTTTGATAAATATTTAAAGTGTTAAATAATGTTAGTTAACTGCTGAACTGCTGAGGAAAGGTATGAAAGTGTTAAGAAAAAGTGATAATGTGTTAGACAAAATCAGATGGCTCATTACAGTGAGCAAAAATGACTACATTTCAAAAATATTTTAGCCTAAGGCTACACTTTGAACTCCTCATCTTTGGAATATCACCAGTTTAAGATTTTTCTGCATTCATTTTCAAGACATAATTCAACCGTTGCTTTCCTTATATGCAAAAGTAACACAGGGATTTGTATGGTGGTTTTATTACTTTTTTTTAACAGAAAAGAGAAACACTAAAGACACAGGTAACATCGCTTGTATACGGAAAAAAGTACTAACACAGCTTAGAAATATGAATTAGCTTAACAGTAAAAGTAGCAGAAATTTGGGCTAGAAGACCTCAAATTCATAGTTTATAAATAAATGAAGTCAATTTAGGTAAGGCACCAGTTCAAGACTCCAAATAATTCCAGAAGGGCATCCTGTAAGCCTAAGATACCCCTTTTATGTTAGCAGAATTAGACTCTAACTGTAGCGCTGCCTGTGATTACTCTTAATCTAAGGAAACAAGAGAGAGCATTCTGAGGACTAAAAGGGCTTCTAATATTCTTGTCTACTGAAACTTCCCACTAACTTTTCACAAGGGTTTTTTTGGGGGGTTAGGTTTTCTTTTTCCTCTTTTTCAAAAAGAACAAGTCAAAACATCACCAATTAATTCCAAAGGTCGGTTTTGATCAGCATATGCAACTGCTAGTGTTTGACACATGTGCACACACAGAGACTGGAAAGTTATTACTGCCGTGACTAAACTGTCATGACAGGGTTCCCATTGTGGAAGCCTAAGGGATCACGTGGCTTGGGGCAGCCCTGACCATACAGCTACACCTACTCTTTCAGTGGCTTAAAAGAAATCTCGTAGTCTGACTGGAAAGCCTTGAGATTTAACTCTTAAAATATTTAAGTTTCCAACTAATAAAAACTTACTTATGTCTTTCATAATTAACAAAAAGGGTCTTTTTTTCTTGTTGGAGGGTTCTATTTGTTTTGATATTTGCAATATTAACACATGATGAAAGCACATGGTAATGTTACTTTATTAAAGCTGGTAAGTTATTCAGAAAGTGGACATTGTCATGGAGATTAATGGCAACAGCTTCAACCTGTGACTAAACTTCTGACTAAAAGTTTTATGCTTATGCTTCCCCGCTTTTTGAGTTAATCTTTCAACGTACTTTGCTTTGTGCTTCTGGGATCTTTGTTGATTAAACTTTTGAAATTTAAAAGGAAACTAGCAGCAGTATCTAAACAACACACAAGACTCAGGGTCTTGAAGCACAAAAGTTCCAGAGAGAGGATTTTGACTATCTATAGGACAGTTACTTGCTAGACTATTAGATTGACCAGTCATATATAGAAATGCGTATCTCCTGCGGGTGAAAAAGTTCAGTCCAAACTTAGCAAGGATAAAGTTTACAGTGACCAAAACAGTTTCACTGAGTTAGCCCTCTGCTTTAAGTTAAAAAAAAAATTACGAGCTACAAATCTTTGTCTTTTTTATGATTTTTACTTGTTTTTGATGAAGCCAGTGATAACTTAGTCCTGCAAAGTTCTCTCACGCTTATTATTTATCATACCTATATTAGTTATTCAAATCACAAGACTGCTACTACCAGAAGCTCATCTTCCAGTCTCTCTTAAAAGTGAGATCTGACGATTTCACTCAGAACAAAGCAACACAGAAAGCCTTAATGACGAAGGGTTTTTTTTTCCAGTAGTGTGCATTCAATAGCGAACATTTCATTTCAATAAAATGTTCACAAGACATTGTATTCACTAAACATTTGAATAATTATCTATCTAAATACGTGGAAATAATTAGGAAATACAGATAAAGGGCTCATAAAGCTCTTACAGAAAGACAGCAGAGATGATAATACAGGTTTCTCATGCAATTGGAATTACACAGAACTGCGGAACAACTTGCACGCAAGTGGTTTAAACTGCAGGAAAAACTACTTTTTTCTTTTCTTTTTTTAATGCCCTCCCTCCTTCCCTCCGCCTCAAAAAAAGTAAGTTTATTCAGCATGCCGGAGTACCAATACACGGTCAATTACTACACACGAAGACCGATTAAGCGCTGCATCTTTGCAGGGAAACTTTTTTGTTTGTTTCAAGTGCCACAGAGCACCAAGCAGCGGGGGGTCCCGGCGCGGCCCCTGCGCAGCGCGGCGGCCCCTGCCCTGCGCGGCGGCCCCCAGCGAGCGAACAAAGCGGGCAGCGGCCCCGCACGCGGCGGGGCTCGCGTTTTAACGGCCCGCGGGGTAGCTTCCTCCGCGGA